GGGAAATTTCACCCAAAAAAATCAACCAAAATTCACCCAACAATTCACCACAAAAAATGGGCAAAATTCAGCCAAAAACCCCCCAAAAATTCCTCCCCAAATCTCCCAAAATTCACCCAAAACCCCCCCCAGAATTCTCCACCCCCAAACTGCCTGAATTGCCACAAAAATCCCCCAAAATTGTCCTAAAATCTCTCAAAATCCCCCCAGAATTTTCCCCAAAATGCCCCAAATTTTCCCCAAAAAAATGCCCCAAATTCTCGCCAAAATTCACCCAAAATTTCCCCTCCAAAATTCACCCAAAAATCCTGAAAAGTCCCTCAAAAATTCCCCAAAAATTGGTCCCAAAATTGCCCAAATTCATCCAAAATTCTCCCCCAAAACTCCTCAAAATTTCCCCCAAAATTTCCCCCAAAATTCCCCCAAAAATTCCACCAAATCCTCCCAATTTTCCCCCCAAAATTCACCCAGAAATGTCCAAATTCTCTCCAAAATTCCCCCCAAAAATTCCCCCCAAAATTGCCCCAAAATTGGCCCAAAAATGTCCAAATTCTCCCCAAAATTTCCCCAAAAATTTCCCAAAAAATCCCCCAAACTGCCCCAAAATTCTCCCGAATTTCCCCCAAAATTGCCCAAAATTCACCCAGAAATGTCCAAATTCTCTTCAAAAATTTCCCCAAATTTTCCCCAAATTCCCCCAAACTCCCTCAAAAATTCCCAAAAATTCACCCAAAAATTGCCCAAATTTTCCCCCAGAAATGTCCAAATTCTCTCCAAAATTTCCCAAAAATTCCCCCAAACTGCCCCAAAATTTCCCCAAAATTCTCCCAAATTCCCCGCCTGACCGGGTGGGGGGGGAGGGGCGTTCCCAGGGCTCTCTCCTGGAGCTGCTCCAGCGCCGCCGCCTTCAGAGCCAGCGCCCCCAGGGGACGCACGGACACGGCGGCTCTGTCACGATATATCGGGATATGAATGGGTTATATTGGGATATCCATGGGTTATATCGTGATATACAACATCACACAGAGCCAGCGCCCCCAGGGACGCGCGGACACGGCGGCCCTGGCACGATATATCGTGATATGAATGGATATATCATGATATGAATGGGTTATATTGGGATATACAACACCCCACAGAAGCCAGCGCCCCCAGGGACGCGCGGACACGGCGGCCCTGGCACGATAGGAATGGGTTATATCGTGATATCCATGGGTTATATCGCAATATACAACATCAGACAGAGCCAGCGCCCCCCAGGGACGCGCGGACACGGCGGCCCTGTCGTGATATATCGCGATATCCATGGGTTATATCGGGATATACAACATCACACAGAGCCAGCGCCCCCAGGGACGCGCGGACACGGCGGCTCTGTCACGATATCAATGGATATATCGTGATATACAACATCACACAGGGACAGCGCCCCCAGGGACGCGCGGACACGGCGGCTCTGTCACGATATATCGGGATATCCATGGGTTATATTGGGATATCCATGGGTTATATCATGATATACAACATCACACACTGACAGTGCCCCCAGGGACGCGCGGACACGGCGGCCCTGTCGTGATATATCGTGATATAAATGGATATATCATGATATGAATGGGTTATATTGGGATATACAACACCCCACAGAGCCAGCGCCCCCAGGGACGTGCGGACACGGTGGGCCCTGTCGTGATATCAATGGATATTGCGATATGAATGGGTTATATTGGGATATCCATGGGTTATATCGTGATTAACAACACCCCACAGAGCCAGCGCCCCCAGGGACGCGCGGACACGGCGGCCTGTCGTGATATATCGTGATATCCATGGGTTATATTGGGATATAGAACATCAGACAGAGCCAGCGCCCCCAGGGATGCGCGGACACGGCGGCCCTGTCGTGATATATCATGATATCAATGGGTTATATTGGGATATCCATGGGTTATATCGTGATATAGAACATCAGACAGAGCCAGCGCCCCCAGGGACGCGCGGACACGGCGGCCCTGTCGTGATATGAATGGGTTATATCGGGATATACAACATCACACAGTGACAGCGCCCCCAGGGACGCGCGGACACGGCGGCCCTGTCATGATATGAACAGGTTATATCGTGATATCCATGGGTTATATCACGATATGGACAGGTTATATCGTGACAGCGCCCCCGTATCGTGATAGGGACAGGGATATCGCAATAGGAAGGGGTCAGATCGCGATAGGGACCGGTTCTATCGCGATATCACCACAAGAGAACCCCGCCAGAACCAGGAGAGGGGAAAACGAGATGTGAATGAGATGCAAATGAGATGCAAATGAGATGCAAATGAGAGGAAAAAAGGGGGCGGGACCCACCTGGGCCAGGGCGGGGTCCTGGGGGCTGAGGAGCCGCCCCTCCCCCCACGGCCCCCTCCCCCTCCGAGTCCGAGTCCGAGACCTGGGGAAGGGAAAATTGGGGGAAAAAATCTCAGATTTGGGCCAAAAATCCAAAATTTGGGCCAAAAATCCAAAATTTGGGCCGAAAATTCCAAAATTTGGGCCAAAAATATCCAAAATTTGGGCCAAAAAAATCCAAAATTTGGCGGGAAAAAATTCCGGATTTTGGGTAAAAAATCCAAATTCTTCCTCATTCTTGGACGGTTTTCCCCCTTTTTTGCCTCCAGTTCCCCAAATTTTGGGTTCATTTTCTTCATTTTGGGGGTAAAATTTCCCATTTTTGGCCCCTTTTCCACATTTTTTGCCTCCTTTTCCCATTTTTGTGCTCTTTTTCCCCATTTTTTGAGGGTTTTTTTTCTCCATTTTTTGGTCTATTTTTCCCAATTTTGCGGATTTTTTCCTCATTTTTTTGGGATTTTTCCCCCCATTTTTCTCCTTTTTCCCCATTTTTGGCACTTCCCCCTATTTTTCACATCCCCGATCCCGATTTTGGGCTCCTTTTCCCATTTTTGTGCTCCTTTTCCCCAATTTTTGTCCTTTTTTCTCCATTTTTGGCCTTTTTTCCCCTTTTCCGCCATTTTCAGGCCTTTTTCCCCATTTCTCGCCTCTTTTCCCCCATTTTTCTCCTCTTTCTCCCCATTTTCCGCCACTTCTCCCCCATTTTCGGGGTCCCCGGTTCCGATCCCTGGCTCCTTTTCCCAGTTTTTTCTCCTCTTTTTCCCGATTTTTGCACTTTTTTCCCCATTTTTTCGCCTCTCGCCTGATGCAGTTCCCGCGTCCGGTCCCCTCATGGCGGATACAACCGGAAGTGGCCGCGCCGCGCATGCGCAGCACCCACAGGCAAAACCATAGAGAGGCCTCAGAGTCCTCCAGCACCATCGAGACCGACCGGAAGTCCTCCAAAACCATAGAGACCAACAGGAAGTCCTCCGAAATCATAGAGACCAACCGGAAATCATAGCGAAAACCCGGAAATTAACCGGAAATACCCCGGAGATGAGCTGGATGCTTCCAAAACCATAGAGATAAACCGGAAGTCTCTCAAAAATCATAAAAATGAACCTGAAGACCTCAAAAATCGTAGAGACACACCGGAAAAGCTCTAAAACAACAGAGAGGAGCCGGAAGTTGCCGCGAGAAACCATCGAGACACCCGGAAGTCCTCCCGCAAACCACCGAGGACGAGCCGGAAGCGCTTCCCATAAACCACGGAGAGGGGGGCGTGGCCTGGGGCGGAGCCGCTTCCGGGTTTCGGCGGGAGCGGTGAGCGGTGAGCGGGGGTCGCCATGGCAACGGCCCCCGCCCATTGCGACCCCCGGGGGGGGGGAGAGGGGAACGGGAGGGACCAATGGGGGGGGGGCTGGGGGGGATTTGGGGCCATTTCGGGCGATTTTGGGGCCATTTCGGGCGATTTTGGTCCATTTAGGGGAATTTGGGTCCCTCTGAGGGAATTCTGGGGTCCTCGGGTCCCTCTTGGACGATATTGGGGCCATTTAAGGCGATTTTGGGTCCATTTCAGGTGACTTTGGTCCCTTTAAGGAAGTTTTTGGTTCCTTTAAGGGGATTTTGGGGTCCCTTTCGGGAGATTTTGGGTCAATTTTGGGTGGATTTTGGGTCATTTTCCGTTGATTTTGCTTCCTCCCGGGTGATTTTTGGGTCCTTTTTTGGGCGATTTTGGGTCATTTTCAGTTGATTTTTTTTTGGCGCTGACTTAAGGAGAATTTGGGTCCATTTCAGGGATTTTGGGTCCCTTTCTGACGATTTTTTTGACTCCTCCAGGTGATTTTTGGGTCCATTTAAGGAGATTTTGAGTCGCCCCCCCCCCAGGTCCCTTTTTCAGGTGATTTTGGTTTCATTTAAGGTGAATTTGGGTCCATTTCAGGTCATTTTGGGTCCATTTAAGGTGAATTTGGGTCAATTCAAGGCGATTTTGGGCCCATTTCAGGCGATTTCTGACTCTCTCAGGTGCCCCCACCTGCCCAGGTGCTTTTATGGATTTTGGGTCCATTTAAGGAGATTTTGGGTCAATTTCAGGTCATTTTGGGTCCATTTAAGGGGATTTTGGGTCAATTCAAGGCCATTTTGGGTCCATTTTAAGGGGATTTTGGGTCAATTCAAGGCCATTTTGGGTCCATTTAAGGCGAATTTTGGGTCATTTCAAGGCCATTTTGGGTCCATTTAATGTCATTTTGGGTCCCTCTCAGGTGATTTTGGGGTCAATCAAGACGATTTTGGGTCAATTTCAGGGGATTTTGGGTCATTTCAAGGCCATTTTGGGTCAATTCAAGGCCATTTTGGGTCAATTTAAGGCGATTTTGGGTCAATTCAAGGCCATTTTGGGTCAATTCAAGGCCATTGTGTGTGTCCATTTAAGGGCGATTTTGGGCCAATTCAAGGCCATTTTGGGTCCCTTTCAGGCCATTCTGGGTCCATTTAAGGGGATTTTGGGTCAATTCAAACCCATTTTGGGTCCCTTTCAGGCCATTTTGGGCCCGTTTCAGGCGATTTCTGCCCTCGCCAGGTGCCCCCACCTGCCCAGGTGCGATGGGGCGAGCCCGGCCCCCGCCCCCGAGGAGCCGGCCCGGGACCCCCCGGGGCCGCTGGCGCTGCTGCGCTCGCGGGCGCTCGACGTCACCTTCGAGGTGGGCGACGACTACGAAATCATCGAGACCATCGGCACCGGCGCCTACGGCGTGGTCAGCTCGGCACGGAGACGGGACACAGGTGAGGCACCGCTGGGGACACCTGGGGCACACCTGGGGACACCTGGGGGACACCTGGGGGACAGGTGAGGCACAGCTGGGGACACCTGGGGCACAGCTGGGGACACACCTGGGGACACACCTGGGGACACCTGAGATACACCTGAGACAGGTGAGGCACACCTGGGATAGACCTGGGGACACACCTGGGGACACCTGGGGACACACGGGATAGACCTGGGATACACCTGGGGACACCTGGGGGACAGGTGAGACACACCTGAGATAGACCTGAGACACACCTGGGGACACCTGAAAGTACCTGGGGGCACCTGGGGGACACCTGAAAATACCTGGGACACCTGGGGATACACCTGAGACACACCTGGGGACACCTGGGGGGACACCTGAGATACACCTGGGAGAGGTGAGGACACACCTGAGATACACCTGGGGACACCTGGGGGACACCTGAAAGTACCTGGGGTATACCTGGGGGCACCTGGGACAGACCTGAGCTACACCTGGAGATACCTGGGGACACCTTAGATACACCTGGGATACACATGGAGACAGGTGAGACACACCTGGGGACACCTGAGGACACACCTGGGGTACACCTGGATCCCCCCCAGACACACCTGGGGTGAACCTGACACAGGCGAGACAGATCTGGGGGGTTGGGGACACACCTGGGGACACCTGGGACAGGTGAGACACACCTGGGACACACCTGGGACACACCTGGGATACACCTGGACACACCTGGGACACACCTGGACACACCTGGGACCCACCTGGACACACCTGGGATACACCTGGACACACCTGGGACAGGTCAGACACATTTGGGACACACCTGGACACACCTGGGGACACCTGGGGTGGTTGGGACCCACCTGGGGACACACCTGGCACAGACCTGAGCTACACCTGGAGCTACCTGGGGACACCTGGGGCACACCTGGGACCCACCTGGACACACCTGGGACCCACCTGGGCACACCTGGGACCCACCTGGCCGCACGCGTGTGCCCCAGGCCAGCAGGTGGCCATCAAGAAGATCCCCAACGCCTTCGACGTGGTGACCAACGCCAAGCGGACGCTGCGGGAGCTGAAGATCCTCAAGCACTTCAAGCACGACAACATCATCGGCATCAAGGACATCCTGCGGCCCAGCGGCCCCTACGGAGAGTTCCGGAACGTGTGAGAGGGGGCGGGGCTCGGGGGGGGGTGGGGGGAGGGGCTGAAGTGGGGTTGGGTTGGGTTGAGTTGGGTTGGGTTGGGTTTGCTTGACTTGGGTTCAGTTGGGTTGGGTTGAGTTGGGTTTGTTGGGTTGGGGTTGGGTTGGGTTGGGTTGAGTTGGCTTTGCTTGCTTGGGTTAGGTTTGTTGGGGTTGGGTTGGGTTGAGTTGAGTTGGGTTGGGTTGAGTTCAGTTGGGTTTGTTGGGTTTCATTGAGTTGGTTTAGGCTGAGTTTGGTTGAGTTGGGTTGGGTTTGATTCGGTTGAGTTGACTTTGGTTGGGTTGGGTTGATTGAATTGATTGACTTGGGGTTGAGTTGCGTTAAATTTACTGGGTTTGGTTGAGTTGGGTCGGGTTTGTTGGGTTGACTTGGCTTGGGTTTGGTTGTTTGGGTTGAGTTGAACTCAGCTCGGTTGAGTTGGTTGAGTTGAATTCATTGGGTTGGGTTGGGTTGGGTCAACTTTCATTGACTTGGGTTGGGTTGAGTTGAGTTTCATTGAGCTGGGTTGACTTGGGTTGACTTTCATTGAGTTGGGTTGGGTTTCATTGAGTTGGGTTGAGTCAAGTTCGTTTGACTTGGGTTGACTTGGGTTGGGATGACTTTCATTGAGTTGGGTTTCGTTGACTGAGTTGGTTGGGTTTGTTGGGTTGGGTTGAGTTGGGTTTATTGACTTGGGTTGACTTTCATTGACTTGGGGTTGGTTGGGTTGGGTTGACTTTCATTGACTTGGGTTGCCTTTCATTGACTTGAGTTTCATTGAGTTGGGTTTCATTGAATTGGGTTGACTTGGGTTGACTTTCATTGACTTGGTTGGTTGACTTGGGTTGACTTTCATTGAGTTGGGTTGCGTTGGGTTGAGTTTCATTGACTTCCATCGACTTGGGTTGACTTGGGTTGAGTTTCATTGACTTTCATTGAGTTGGGTTGGGTTGAGTTGACTTGGGTTGACTTCCATTGCCTCCCATCGCCTCCCATTGCCTCGCCTTACCCAACCCCTCCCCCCCGCCCCTCCCCCACCCCCCAGCTACGTCGTTCTGGACCTCATGGAGAGCGACCTCCACCAGATCATCCACTCCTGCCAGCCACTCACCCTGGAGCACGTCCGCTACTTCCTCTACCAGCTCCTGCGCGGCCTCAAGTACATCCACTCCGCCAACGTCCTGCACCGCGACCTCAAGCCCAGCAACCTCCTGGTCAACGAGAACTGCGAGCTCAAGATCGGCGACTTCGGCATGGCCCGCGGCCTGGGCGCCGACCCGCGCCACACCAAGCCCTTCCTCACCGAGTACGTGGCCACGCGCTGGTACCTTGCGCGCCGGAGCTGCTGCTCTCCCTGCACCGCTACACGCGCGCCATCGACATGTGGTCGGTCGGCTGCATCTTCGCCGAGATGCTGGGGGCGCCGCCAGCTCTTCCCGGGACGCAACTACGTCCACCAGCTCCAGCTCATCATGGCCGTGCTGGGCACGCCCCCGCCGGGCGTCATGGCCGCCATCGGCGCCGAGCGCGTCCGCGCCTACGTGCAGAGCCTGCCGCCGCGCCCGCCGGTGCCCTGGGAGAGCCTCTTCGGCCAGGCCGAGCCGGCGGCGCTGGCGCTGCTGGGCCGGATGCTGCGCTTCGACCCGCGCGAGAGGGTGGGCGTGGCCGAGGCGCTGCGCCACCCCTTCCTGGCCAAGTACCACGACCCCGAGGACGAGCCCGAGTGCGTGCCCGCCTTCGACTTCGCCTTCGACCGCCAGGCGCTCACCAAGGAGGAGATCAAGGCGGCCATCGTGGCCGAGATCGCCGACTTCCACGCCCGGCGCGACGGCATCCGCCGGCAGATCGCGCCGGCGCCGGGGGGCGTGGCCAACAGCGTGAATGCAACCAATGACGTCAGCAGGAGAAACGTCGAGGTCGGCGCGGCCGACAATGGGGTCGGCGTCGAGCTCAACGCGCCCAACGATCCATCATGGCCGCCGTGCGCCGACGTGGACATGCCCCAGCCCCGGCCCCGCCCCCGACTGCCCAATGGAGTCGCCGCGGGTGAAGGCGGAGCCGGCAGTGGGGGCGGGGCCGGCGGTGGCTCCGCCCAAGAGGGACGGCGCCATCTCGGACGACACCAAGGCGGCGCTGAAGGCGGCGCTGCTGAAATCGGCCATGAGGAACAAGAGCAAAGGTGGGGGGAGGGGTTGGGGCGGGATGGGTTGGGTTGACTTGGGTTGGGTTTATTGGGTTGGATTGGATTTGGTTGAGTTAGGTTGGGTTGGGTGGGATTGAGTTGGGTTGGGTTGGATTTGGTTGAGTTGATTGAAGTTGAGTTGAGTTGGGTCAAGTTGAGTTGGTTGAGTTTGGTTGACTTTGGTTGGGTCAAGTTGGGTTGAGTTTCATTGAGTTGGTTCAGTTTGGTTGACTTCGGTTGTGTTGACCTGATGAGTTGGGTTGAGTTGATTGAAGTTGAATTGAGTTGAGTTGGGTTGGGTCAAGTTGGGTTGAGTTGGTTGAGTTGGGTTGGGTGGGATTGAGTTGGGTTGGATTTGGTTGATTTGATTGAGTTGGGTTGGGTTGGGTTGGGTTGGGTTGGGTTTCATTGAGTTGGTTGACTTTGGTTGACTTTGTTGTGTTGAGCTGATGGATTTGGGTTGGGTTGGGTCAAGTTGGGTTGAGTTGAGTTGAGTCAACTCAACTTTAATTGTTTGAGTTTCGCTTGCCTTGCCTTGCCTTGCGTTGACTTTGGACCCAACCCATTGACCCCTCCCCTCCCCTCCCCCCCTTGGCCCCTCCCCCCAGACCCGCCCTGCGCGGCGCCGGAAGCGCCCGAGTGCCGCAAGCCGGTGACGGCGGCCGAGCGCCAGCGCGAGCGGGAGGAGAAGCGCCGGCGCCGCCAGGAGCGCGCCAAGGAGCGCGAGAAGAAGCAGCGCGAGCGCGAGCGCCGCGAGCCACGCCCACGGGGGGAGGGGCTCCACGGCCTCGTCCTCACCGACGACGACCGGCACCTCCTGGAGCGCTGGACCAAGATGGCCGACGGCGCCCAGCCCCGCCCCCAGGCCCCGCCCCCCTGCGCCGCCCCGCCCAACGAGGCGTGGCCGGGCCCCCGCGGGGTGGGCGGAGCCTCCGGACGTGGCCACGGTGACGCAGCAGCTGCAGAAGTCGCAGGTGAGGGGGGGGCGGGGCTGGGTTTAAAGGGTGAGGGGGTGAGTGGGCGGGGTCTGGGCGTGGCCACGCCCCCCTGGGAGAGAGCCACGCCCCCTTTTCGGGCAGGTGGAGGATCCGCTGCCGCCGGTGTTCCCGGTGACGCCCAAGGGCAGCGGCGCCGGTTACGGCGTCGGCTTCGACCTGGAGGAGTTCCTGAGCCAATCGCTCGACATGGTGGGCGAGGCCAAGGACAGGTGGGGAGGGGCCTGGGGTGGGAGGGGTTTGGGGGGTTGGGTGGGGTTGGGTTGAGTTGGGTTTGGAAGGGTTGGGTTGGGTTGAGTTTATTGAGTTCCATTGGGTTGGGTTGAGTTGGGTCGGGTTGAGTTGAGTTTATTGGGTTCCATTGGGTTGGGTCGGGTTCAGTTGGGTTGGGTCGAGTTTGTTGGGTTCCATTGGGTTGGGTTGGGTTCCATTGGGTTGGATTGGGTTGGGTTGGATTGAGTTTATTGGGTTGGGTTCAGTTGGGTTCGGTTGGGTTGGGTTGAGTTTATTGGGTTGGGTTTATTGAGTTCCATTGGGTTGGGTTGGGTTCAGTTGGGTTGGTTGGGTTCAGTTGGGTTGGGTTGGGTTCAGTTGGGTTGGGTTTATTGATTCGGTTGGGTTGAGTTTATTGAGTTCAGTTGGGTTGGGTTCAGTTGGGTTGGTTTGGGTTGAGTTGAGTTTGATTGGGTTGGGTTGAGTTTATTGATTCGGTTGGGTTGGGTTCCATTGGGTTGGGTTGGGTTGGGTTTGTTGAGTTCCGTTGGGTTTGGTTGGGTTCAGTTGGGTTGGGTTGGGTTTGTTGGGTTCCATTGGGTTGGGTTGAGTTTATTGAGTTTATTGGGTTGGTTGGGTTGGGTTGGGTTTATTTGGTTCCATTGGGTTGGGTCGGTTGGGTTGGGCTGAGTTGCCTTGGTTGGGTTGGGTTGGGTTGAGTTTATTGAGTTTATTGGGTTCAGTTGGGTTGGGTTGAGTTTATTGGGTTCAATTGGGTTGGGTTCCATTGGGTTGGGTTGAGTTTATTGATTCAGGTTGGGTTGGGTTGGGTTTTGTTTGGTTTGGTTTATTTGGTTCCATTGGGTTGGGTTTGGTTGGGTTGGGCTGAGTTTATTGAGTTCAGTTGGCTTGGGTTGGGTTGAGTTTGATTCAGTTGGGTTGGGTTCCGTTGGGTTGGGTTGAGTTGATTGGGTTGGGTTTATTGGGTTGGGTTTATTTTGAGTCCGTTGGGTTGGGTTGGATAGAGTTGGATTGAGTTGATTGGGTTGGGTTTATTTGTTCCATTGGCTCGTCTCTCCCTGTGCTGTCTCTCATTGGCTCCCCTCCGTCTCCGTGGGCGTGTCCCCGTCTCCTGGCCCCTCCCCTTTCCCACGGCAGCCATTTGGACTCGGCGCCGCTGTCGGCGTCGCTCTTGGCCGATTGGCTGGAGGTTCACCGCCTCAGCCCCGCCGCGCTCGAGAGCCTCCAGCGCGACCTCAGCCTGGGGCTCGCCCATGCTCGACGACCTCCCCCGAGCCCTGACCCCGCCCCTCATCTCCATACCCGGGACACGCCCCCTCCCCGCCCGCCCGGATTAAACTTTGGACACAAACGACGCCGATCCCGCGCGACTTTGTGGGGCGGGGTTTGGGCCGCTTTGGGGGCGGGGTTTGTGTCACTTTGGGGCGGGTTTGGGCCGTTTGGGGGGCGGGGTTTGTGCCGCTTTGGGGCGGGGTTTGGGCCGTTTGGGGGCGGGGTTTGGGCCATTTGGGGCGGGGTTTGTGCCATTTGGGGCGGGGTTTGTGCCATTTTTTGGGGTGGAGTTTCCATCGCTTTTTGGGGCGGAGTTTGCATCATTTTTTGGAGTGGAGTTTCCACCATTTTTGGGGTGGGGTTTGTGCCATTTTGGGCAGAATTTCCGCCATTTTTGGGGCGGAGTTTCCGCCATTTTGGGGCGGAGTTTGTGCCATTTTGGGGCGGAGTTTGTACCATTTTGGGGTGGAGTTTCTGCCATTTTTGGGCAGAATTTCCACCATTTTGGGGCAGAATTTCCGCTATTTTTGGGGCAGAGTTTGCACCATTTTTGGGCGGAGTTTCCGCCATTTTGGGGACAAAATTTCTGCCATTTTGGGGCAGAATTTCCACCATTTTGGGGTGGGGTTTCCACCATTTTTTGGGGCAGAATTTCCGCCATTTTTGGGGTGGAGTTTGCGCCCTTTTTCGGGCAGAATTTCTGCCATTTTGGGGCGGAGTTTCCACCATTTTTGGGGGCAGCGTTTCCGCCATTTTGGGGCGGAGTTTCCGCCATTTTGGGGCGGGGTTTCCGCCATTTTGAGCAGAGTTTCCGCCATTTTGGGGCGGAGTTTCCACCATTTTGGGGCAGAATTTCCCCCATTTTTGGGGAGGAGTTTCCGCCATTTTTGGGGCAGAATTTCCACCATTTTGGGGAGGAGTTTCCACCATTTTAGGGTGGAGTTTGTGCCATTTTGGGGCGGAGTTTCCACCATTTTTGGGGTGGGGTTTGCGCCATTTTGGGCAGAATTTCCGCCATTTTTGGGGCAGAGTTTCCGCCACTTTGGGGCGGAGTTTGTGCCATTTTGGGGTGGAGTTTCCGCCATTTTTGGGCAGAATTTCCACCATTTTGGGGCAGAATTTCGGCCATTTTGGGGCAGAATTTCGGCCATTTTGGGGCGGAGTTTCCGCCATTTTTGGGGCGGAGTTTCTGCCATTTTGGGGCGGGGTTTTCCGCCATTTATTGGCCCCTCCCACCCCCACCTCGGGGAGGATGAGGAGGGCAAGGATGAGGAAGAGGAGGGCAGGAAGAAGAGGCGGAGCCGGCTGCGTTTTTGGCAATGGCTTTCGTAGCAAAGACATCACAGACCACGAGCGCGGGGGGAGGGGTGGTGGGAGGGGCTTGGGGAGGAGGGCGGGGCCTATGGGGGGAGGGGCTTGGGGAGAGGCCCCTCCCCCTTCCCGCTGTGGGGGGTGGGGCCATTCGGGGGAGTGGGGGAGGGGCCCCAGCGGGGCGGGAAAATCTAAGTGGAGGGGGAGGGTCATCGATGACGTCATTGGGTCATCGATGACGTCATTGTGTCATCGATTGGGGTTTTAATGAGGTCATTGGCGATTGATGAGGTCATCGATGATGTCACTGGTTAATCGATGGGGTTATTGTGCTACCGATGACGTCATCGGGTCATCGATGACATCATCGCGTCGCTGATTGAGTTATTGGGCCATCGATGACGTCACTGGGCACTGGTTCAACTGGTCGGGGATGGGTTAAACCAGTTGGGTGGGTGATGGTTTAACCAGCTGGGCACTGGTTAGAGTGGTCAATGGAGGGTTAACCAGTGGGGGACTGGTCAATGGAGGGTTAACCCAGTGGGGGACTGGTTTAAACTGGTTGGTGATGGTTTAACCAGTTGGGGACTGGTTAGGCTGGTCAATGGAGGGTTAACCAGTTGGGGACTGGTTTAACTGGTTGGTGATGGTTTAAACCAGTTGGGCACTGGTTGGTTATGGTTTAACCAGCTGGGCACTGGTTAGAGTGGTTGGTTATGGTCGCGTTGGTCGGCGCGGTGGGAATGGGACGATGGCACCTCCCCCACCCAGCTTGGGTTGGTCAACCCAACTCAACCCAACCAACCCGACCCAACTCAACTCAACCCAACTCAACCCAAGCCAACTTAACCCAACCCAACTCAACTCAACTCATCCGACCCAACTCATCCAACCCAAGCAAACTCAACTCAACCCAACTCAACCCAACCCAACTCAACCCAACATAACCCAACCCAACCCATCCAACCCAGCTCAACTCAACCCAACTCATCCAATCCAACTCAATTCAACTCAACTCAACTCATCCAACCCAACCCAACCTGACTCAACCAAACCCAACTCAACTTGGCCCAACCCAACTCACCCCAACCCAACCCAACTTAACCCAACATAACTCAACCAAACCAAACCAACTCAACACAACCCAACTCATCCAACCCAACCCAACCCCACTTGACCCAACTCAACTCAACCCATCCAACCCAACTCATCCGACCCAACCCAACTCAACTCAACTAAACGCAACCCAACTCAACGCAACTCATTCAACTCAACCCAACCCAACCCAACTCAACTCAACCTGACCCAACCCAACCCAAACCAACCCAACCCCACCCATCACACTTGACCCAACCCAACTCATCCAACCCAACTCAACTCAACTTGACCCGACCCAACCCAACTTGACCCAACTGAACTCAATGCAACCCAACCGAACTCAACTGAACCAAACCCAGCCCAACTCAACCCATCCAACCCAACCAAACCCAACCCAACCCAACTTGACCCGACCCAACTTGATCCAACCCAACCCAACCCAACCCAACCCAACCCAACTCAACTCCACCCATCCAACTTGACCCAACTCAACTCAACCAAACCAAACGAACTCAACCCAACCCAACTCAACCCAAGCCAACCCAACCCAACCCAGCCCCGATTCGTGGGCGTGGCCGGCGGGGGGTGACGGGATGGATGAAGACCAATGAGGAAGAAGAAGAGGAACAAAGGGGGGCGGAGCTTAGATTTGCCAACACCTCGGGGGGGGGCGGAGCCTCGGGGGGGGAGAAAACAAAATAAAGGGGGCGTGGCCGGCGGTGACGGGACCACCACGTGCTGGTTCGTCCGTTCGCAATTAATTAATTCGTTAATTTATTCGCGATTGATGCGGTTGATTAATTAATTCACGGGGGTATCGGGGGGGGGAGGGGCACCGGGGGGGCGGGGCCTGGGCAGGGGGGGCGGGGCCGGGGGGAGGGGCCTCAGAGGCCCAGGGTGCCCCCGATGGAGGAGGCCAGGACCACGCCCAGCACCACGCAGCAAATGATGATCATGATCTTCTTCTGCGGTTTGGGGAGAATTCCGGCGGGTTTGGGAAAATCGGGGAATTTCGGGGAATTTCGGGGAAAAAATTTCGGGATTTTTTGGGGAGTTTTTGGGGATTTTTGGGGGATTTTTGGGGGGATTTTTTGGGGTTTTTTGGGGATTTTGGGGGGGATTTGGAGGTATTTGGTAAATTTGGGGGTGGGGGTTTTTTTGGGTGAATTTTGGGTGGATTTGGGGTAAATTTGGGGGTGGGGTTTTTTTGGGGTGAATTTGGGGTGGATTTGGGGTAAATTTGGGGTGGGGTTTTTTTGGGTGGATTTGGGGTAAGTTCGGTGAATTTTGGTGCGTTTTGTTGCGTTTTGATGGGTTTTAATGGATTTGATGGATTTTAATGAATTCGATGGATTTGGGTGAATTTGATGGATTTTGGGGGGTGAATTTTTGGTGGATTTGGATGGATTTTGATGAATTTTGGGGGGAAATTTCGGTAAATTTTCGGTGAATTTTCGACGATGTTTTTTTTGGATGAGTTTGATGGATTTCAGGCGAATTTTGATGAATTTTTATGGATTTTGATAAAGTTAAATGAATTTCAATGAATTTTGAGTGAATTTCAGTGAATTTCAGGCAAATTTTGATGAATTTTAATGAATTTTGATAATGTTAAATGAATTTCAATGAATTTCGATGGTTTTCAAAGAATTCCAACGAATTTTGGGTGAATTTTGATGGAATTCAGTGAATTTCATTGAGTTTTGATGGAATTCAATGAATTTCAATCAATTTTTGATGAATTTTGATGAAATTTGATGGAATTCAATGAATTTTGATGAATTTTGATGGAATTCAATGAATTTCAATGAAATTTGATGGAATTCAATGAATTTCAATCAATTTTCGATGAATTTTGATGAAATTTGATGGAATTCAATGAATTCCCATGAAATTTTTTTGGGTGAATTTTTGGGAGGTCCCGGCAGCGGGGGAGGGGAGAGAGAACAGCGGAACATCACCGACCCCTCCCCCAGCCCCAGCCCCTCCCAGTACAAACCAGTACGAACCAGTACGAACCAGTTCCCTCCCAGTATAAACCAGTATAACCCAGCGTAACCCAGTCCCCTCCCAATCCTCTCCCAGTACATCCCAGTATGTCCCAGTGTCCCCACTGACCCTCCCAGTCCCTTACCAGTATAAACCAGTATAACCCAGTATAACCCGGTGTTCCCCAGTTCCCTCCAGTCCCTCCCAGTATGAACCAGTTCCCTCCCAGTCACTCCCAGTTCCCTCCCAATCCCCTCCCAGTATAAACCAGTATAAACCAGTATAACCCAGTATAAACCAATTCCCTCCCAGTCTCCTCCCAGTTCCCTCCCAGTCCATCCCGGTCACTCCCAGTCCCTCCCAGTATAACCCAGTATCCCCCAGTCCCCTCCCAGTACATCCCAGTATAACCCAGTCTATCCCAGTGCCCCCACTGACCCTCCCAGTCCCCCTCCCAGTCCCCTCCCAGTATAAACCAGTAGCTCCCAGTCCCTCCCAGTCCCTTCCCAGTATAACCCAGTATATCCCAGTATGTCCCTGTATCCCCCCAGTCCCCTCCCAGTCCCTCCCAGTGTCCCCACTGACCCTCCCAGTACATCCCAGTACATCCCAGTATAACCCAGTATCCCCAGTGACCCTCCCAGTCCCCTCCCAGTATAACCCAGTATGTCCCAGTGTCCCCATTGACCCTCCCAGTCCCTCCCAATCCCCTCCCAGTATATCCCAGTATATCCCAGTCCATCCCAGTATGTCCCAGTGTCCCCAGTGACCCTCCCAGTCCCTCCCAGTTTATCCCAGTTTATCCCAGTCCCTCCCAGTCCATCCCAAGTACAACCCAGTATCCCCAGTGACCATCCCAGTCCCTCCCAGTCCATCCCAGTCCCTCCCAGTTTAACCCAAACCCCTCCCAGTTGCTCCCAGTTCCCTCCCAGTTCCCTCCCAGTCCCTCCCAGTCCCTCCCAGTCCATCCCAGTATATCCCAGTCCATCCCAGTATCCCCAGTGACCCATCCCAGTCCCTCCCAGTCCCTCCCAGTCCCTCCCAGTCCCTCCCAGTCCATCCCAGTATATCCCAGTATAACCGGGTGTCCCCACTGACCCTCCCAGTATATCCCAGTCCCTCCCAGTCCATCCCAGTCCCTCCCAGTTTAACCCAAACCCCTCCCATTCCCCTCCCAGTCCCTCCCAGTCCATCCCAGTCCCTCCCAGTATATCCCAGTCCATCCCAGTGTCCCCACTGACCCTCCGGGCCTTGCTCTGGTACTTCACGGCTTTCTTGGTGTCGGACACGGCGCGCTCGACGTAATCCACCGAGTGCTCCACGTTGTACTCGATGCGGTCAATCATCTCCCCCTGGGGGCAGAGGTCATCTGAGTGACCACTGGTCACTCATGGTCACCATTGGTCACTCATGGTCACCACCGGTCAGTGATGGTCACCATTGGTCACCCATGGTCACTCGTAATCCACCGAGTGCTCCACGTTGTACTCGATGCGGTCACTCATCAACCCCTGGGGGCAGAGGTCATCCTGAGTGACCGCTGGTCATCCTGAGTGACCGCTGGTCATCCTGAGTGACCGCTGGTCAGTGATGGTCACCATTGGTCACTCATGGTCACCATTGGTCACTCAGAGTGACCGCTGGGCACTCGTGATCCACCGAGTGCTCCACGTTGTACTCGATGCGGTCAATCATCTCCCCCTGGGGGCAGAGGTCATCTGAGTGACCACTGGTCAGTGATGGTCACCACTGGTCAGTGATGGTCACCATTGGTCACTCATGGTCACCATTGGTCACTCAGAGTGACCGCTGGTCACTCGTGATCCACCGAGTGCTCCACGTTGTACTCGATGCGGTCACTCATCTCCCCCTGGGGGCAGAGGTCATCCTGAGTGACCACTGGTCAGCCTGAGTGACCGCCGGTCATCCTGAGTGACCAATGGTCAGTGATGGTCACCATTGGTCACCATTGGTCACTCGTGATCCACCGAGTGCTCCACGTTGTACTCGATGCGGTCAATCATCTCCCCCTGGGGGCAGAGGTCACCTGAGTGACCGCTGGTCATCCTGAGTGACCACCGGTCAGTGATGGTCACCACTGGTCAGTGATGGTCACCATTGGTCACCGTTGGTCACTCAGAGTGACCGCTGGGCACTCGTGATCCACCGAGTGCTCCACGTTGTACTCGATGCGGTCACTCATCAACCCCTGGGGGCAGAGGTCAGCCTGAGTGACCGCTGGTCACCCTGAGTGACCGCTGGTCACCCTGAGTGACCGCTGGTCATCCTGAGTGACCACTGGTCAGTGATGGTCACCACTGGTCAGTGATGGTCACCATTGGTCACCGTTGGTCACTCAGAGTGACCGCTGGGCACTCGTGATCCACCGAGTGCTCCACGTTGTACTCGATGCGGTCACTCATCAACCCCTGGGGCAGAGGTCATCTGAGTGACCACTGGTCAGCCTGAGTGACCACTGGTCATCCTGAGTGACCGCTGGTCAGTGATGGTCACCATTGGTCACCATTGGGCACTCAGAGTGACCGCTGGGCACTCGTAATCCACCGAGTGCTCCACGTTGTACTCGATGCGGTCAATCATCTCCCCCTGGGGGCAGAGGTCACCCTGAGTGACCACTGGTCATCCTGAGTGACCACCGGTCAGTGATGGTCACCACTGGTCACTCATGGTCACCATTGGGCACTCAGAGTGACCGCTGGGCACTCGTGATCCACCGAGTGCTCCACGTTGTACTCGATGCGGTCACTCATCAACCCCTGGGGGCAGAGGTCACCTGAGTGACCACTGGTCATCCTGAGTGACCACTGGTCACCCTGAGTGACCGCTGGTCAGTGATGGTCACCATTGGTCACCACTGGTCACTGAGAGTGACCGCTGGTCACTCGTGATCCACCGAGTGCTCCACGTTGTGCTCGATGCGGTCACTCATCTCCCCATGGTCACCCTGAGTGACCGCTGGTCAGTGATGGTCACCATGGTCACCATTGGTCACTCAGAGTGACCACTGGTCAGTGATGGTCACCATGGTCACCATTGGTCACTCATGGTCACCACTGGTCAGTGACGGTGGTCAATGGTCACTCATGGTCACCACTGGTCACTCATGGTCACCACTGGTCAGTGATGGTGGTCAATGGTCACTCATGGTCACCATTGGTCACTGACAGTCAATACTGGTCACTCATGGTCACCACTGGTCACCACTGATCAGTGATGGTCACCATTGGTCACTCAGAGTGACCACTGGTCAGTGATGGTGGTCAGTGGTCACTCATGGTCACCACTGGTCACTGACAGTCAATACTGGTCACTCATGGTCACCACTGGTCACTCCCAGTGACCCATAACGCATCCCGATGACCACTGGTCACTCTCAATGAACTTAGACGGGTCCAGATGACCCATGGTCACTCAGGATGACCACTGGTCACTCCAAGGTGACCTTCTGGAGATCTTTGATGACCCTCAATGGCTCCAGATGGCCTCTGGTCACTCCCAATGACCTCTAACCCATCCCAATGACCCGTGGTCACCCAGTGGTCACCCAGCGGTCACTCAGCGGTCACTCAGCGGTCACTCAGCGGTCACTCGGCACGGACCTGGCTCTCGACCAGCATGGCCATGTCCACGAACACGTCGTGCAGCTCGCGGATGCCCTTTGGCCACTGACCATGACCCGTGGTCACTCCCAATGACCATTGATGGGTCCCAATGACCACTGGTCACTCCCAATGACTTCTGGTCATTCTCGATGACCCATGGTCACTCCCAATGACCCATAACCCATCCCGATGACCACTGGTCACTCCAAGGTGACCTTCTGGAGATCTTTGATGACCCTCAATGGCTCCAGATGGCCTCTGGTCACTCCCAATGACCCGTAACCCATCCCAATGACCCGTGGTCACTCTCACTGACCCGTGGTCACTCTCAATGAACTTAGACGGGTCCAGATGACCCATGGTCACTGGTCACTCCAAGGTGACCTTCTGGAGATCTTTGATGACCCTCAATGGCTCCAGATGGGTTTTGGTCACTCCCAATGACCACTGGTCACTCCCAATGACCTCTAACCCATCCCAATGACCCGTAACCCATCCCAATGACCACCGGTCACTCAGTGGTCACTCAGGATGACCAGTGGTCACTCAGCGGTCACTCAGCACGGACCTGGCTCTCGACCAGCATGGCCATGTCCACGAACATGTCGTGCAGCTCGCGGATGCCCTTTGGCCACTGACCATGACCCGTAACCCATCCCAGTGACCATTGATGGGTCCCAATGACCACTGGTCACTCCCAATGACTTCTGGTCATTCTCGATGACCCATGGTCACTCTCAGTGACCCATAACCCATCCCGATGACCAGTGGTCACTCCCAGTGACCCATAACCCATCCCAATGACCCGTGGTCACTCAAGATGACCCTCAATGGGTTCTTGGTGACCCTCAATGGCTCCAGATGGGCTTTGATGGGTCCCAATGACCACTGGTCACTCCCAATGACTTCTGGTCATTCTCGATGACCCATGGTCACTCTCAGTGACCCATAACCCATCCCGATGACCCGTGGTCACTCAAGATGACCCTCGATGGGTTCTTGGTGACCACAGGTGGATCTAGGTGGGTTTTGATGGGTCCCAATGACCACTGGTCACTCCCAATGACCATAACCCATCCCAATGACCACTGGTCACTCCCAGTGACCCATAGCCCATCCTGATGACCACTGGTCACTCAAGATGACCCTCAATGGGTTCTTGGTGACCACAGGTGGATCTAGGTGGGTTTTGATGGGTCCCAATGACCACTGGTCACTCCAAACTCCCAATGACCCATCCCAATGACCCGTGGTCACCCTGTGGTCACTCAGTGGTCACTCAGCGCAGACCTGGCTCTCGACCAGCATGGCCATGTCCACGAACATGTCGTGCAGCTCGCGGATGCCCTTTGGCCACTGACCATGACCCGTAACCCATCCCAATGACCTGTAACCCATCCCAATGACCCGTGGTCACCCTGTGGTCACTCAGCAGTCACTCAGCGGTCACTCAGCGGTCACTCAGCACGGACCTGGCTCTCGACCAGCATGGCCATGTCCACGAACATGTCGTGCAGCTCGCGGATGCCCTTTGGCCACTGACCATGACCCGTGGTCACTCCCAATGACCATTGATGGGTCCCAATGACCACTGGTCACTCCCAATGACCTCTAACCCATCCCGATGCCCAGTGGTCACTCAAGATGACCCTTGATGGGTTCTTGGTGACCCTCAATGGCTCCAGATGGACTTTGATGGGTCCCAATGACCACTGGTCACTCCCAGTGACCCATAACCCATCCCAATGACCCGTAACCCATCCCGATGACCCGTGGTCACTCCCAATGACCCATGGTCACTCAGGATGACCACTGGTCACTCCAAGGTGACCTTCTGGAGATCTTTGATGACCCTCAATGGCTCCAGATGGCCTCTGGTCACTCCCAATGACCATTGATGGGTCCCAATGACCACTGGTCACTCCCAATGACCCATAACCCATCCCAATGACCACTGGTCACTCCAAGGTGACCTTCTGGAGATCTTTGATGACCCTCAATGGCTCCAGATGGGTTTTGGTCACTCCCAATGACCCGTAACCCATCCCAATGACCCGTGGTCACCCTGTGGTCACCCAGCGGTCACTCAGCGGTCACTCAGTGGTCACTCAGCGCAGACCTGGCTCTCGACCAGCATGGCCATGTCCACGAACATGTCGTGCAGCTCGCGGATGCCCTTTGGCCACTGACCACGACCCGTAACCCATCCCAATGACCCGTGGTCACTCAGTGGTCACTCAGGATGACCCGTGGTCACTCAGCGGTCACTCAGCACGGACCTGGCTCTCGACCAGCATGGCCATGTCCACGAACATGTCGTGCAGCTCGCGGATGCCCTTTGGCCACTGACCATGACCCGTGGTCACTCCCAGTGACCCGTAACCCATCCCAATGACCCGTAACCCATCCCAATGACCCTGTGGTCACTCAGCGGTCACTCAGCGGTCACTCAGTGGTCACTCGGTGCAGACCTGGCTCTCGACCAGCATGGCCATGTCCACGAACATGTCGTGCAGCTCGCGGATGCCCTTTGGCCACTGACCATGACCCGTAATCCATCCCAATGACCACTGGTCACTCCCAATGACCCATAACCCATCCCAATGACCACTGGTCACTCCCAATGACCCGTAACCCATCCCAATGACCACCGGTCACTCAGTGGTCACTCAGTGGTCACTCGGCACGGACCTGGCTCTCGACCAGCATGGCCATGTCCACGAACATGTCGTGCAGCTCACGGATGCCCTTTGGCCACTGACCACGACCCATAACCCATCCCAATGACCATTGATGGATCCCAATGACCTCTGGTCACTCCCAGTGACCCGTAACCCATCCCGATGACCCGTGGTCACTCAAGATGACCCTCAATGGGTTCTTGGTGACCCTCAATGGCTCCAGATGGGCTTTGATGGGTCCCAATGACCACTGGTCACTCCCAATGACTTCTGGTCATTCTCGATGACCCATGGTCACTCTCAGTGACCCGTAACCCATCCCAATGACCACTGGTCACTCCAAGGTGACCTTCTGGAGATCTTTGGTGACCCTCAATGGCTCCAGATGGCTTCTGGTCACTCCCAATGACCCATGGTCACTCCTGATGACCCGTAACCCATCCCAGATGACCACTGGTCACTCCCAGTGACCCGTGGTCACTCCCAGTGACCCGTGGTCACTCAAGATGACCCTCAATGGGTTCTTGGTGACCCTCAATGGCTCCAGATGGACTTTGATGGCTCCCACTGACCCGTGGTCACTCCCAGTGACCCGTAACCCATCCCGATGACCCGTGGTCACCCTGTGGTCACTCAGTGGTCACTCAGTGGTCACTCGGTGCAGACCTGGCTCTCGACCAGCATGGCCATGTCCACGAACATGTCGTGCAGCTCGCGGATGCCCTTTGGCCACTGACCACGACCCGTGGTCACTCCCAATGACCACTGATGGGTCCCAATGACCACTGGTCACTCCCAATGACCCATAACCCATCCCGATGACCAGTGGTCACTCCCAATGACCCATGGTCACTCAGGATGACCACTGGTCACTCCAAGGTGACCTTCTGGAGATCTTTGATGACCCTCAGTGGCTCCAGATGGCCTCTGGTCACTCCCAATGACCATTGATGGGTCCCAATGACCACTGGTCACTCCCAGTGACCCATAACCCATCCCAATGACCCGTAACCCATCCCGATGACCCGTGGTCACTCCCAATGACCCATGGTCACTCAGGATGACCACTGGTCACTCCAAGGTGACCTTCTGGGGATCTTTGATGACCCTCAATGGCTCCAGATGGCCTCTGGTCACTCCCAATGACCCATAACCCATCCCAATGACCACTGGTCACTCTCAATGAACTTAGACGGGTCCAGATGACCCATGGTCACTCAGGATGACCACTGGTCACTCCAAGGTGACCTTCTGGAGACCTTTGATGACCCTCAATGGGTCCACATGGACTGTGGTCACTCCCAATGACCATTGATGGGTCCCAATGACCACTGGTCACTCCCAATGACCTGTGGTCACTTCCAGTGACCCATAACCCATCCCGATGACCACTGGTCACTCAGCGGTCACTCGGTGCAGACCTGGCTCTCGACCAGCATGGCCATGTCCACGAACATGTCGTGCAGCTCGCGGATGCCCTTTGGCCACTGACCACGACCCGTAACCCATCCCAATGACCAGTGGTCACTCAGCGGTCACTCGGTGGTCACTCAGCGGTCACTCGGCACGGACCTGGCTCTCGACCAGCATGGCCATGTCCACGAACATGTCGTGCAGCTCGCGGATGCCCTTTGGCCACTGACCACGACCCGTGGTCACTCCCAATGACCCATAACCCATCCCAATGACCCGTAACCCATCCTGATGACCAGTGGTCACTCAGTGGTCACTCAGCACGGACCTGGCTCTCGACCAGCATGGCCATGTCCACGAACATGTCGTGCAGCTCGCGGATGCTGGTCTCCAGCTTGATGATCTCGTTGTGCCGCGTCTCGATCTCGTTCAGCGCCTGCTTGGTCATCTGCGAGTCCATCTTGATCTGCGGGGGGAAGGGGGGCGGTCACTCGGGGTCACCCGGGGTCACCCGGGGTCACCTGGCGGTCACCATGGATCTCCTGGTGGTCACCTGGTGGTCAGCTGGTGCTGGGGACCTTCAGGTGGTCACCTGGTGGTCACCAGAGATCTCCAGGACCTTCAGGTGGTCACCCAAGTGACCTTCAGGTGGTCACCCAGGATGTCCAGGTGGTCACCTGGTGGTCACCTGGTGGTCACCTAGTGGTCAGCTGATGGTCAGCTGGTCACTATGGATCTCCAGGACCTTCAGGTGGTCACCCAGGATGTCCAGGTGGTCACCTGGTGGTCACCATGGATGTCCAGGACCTTCAGGTGGTCACCAAGGTGACCTTCAGGTGGTCACCATGGATCCCCAGGACATTCAGGTGGTCACCCAGGATATCCAGGTGGTTCTGGTGGTCACCTGGTGGTCACCATGAATCCCCTGGTGGTCACCATGGTGGTCAGCTGATGGTCAGCTGGTCCCAGAGATCTCCAGGTGGTCACCATGGATCCCCAGGACCTTCAGGTGGTCACCAAGGTGACCTTCAGGTGGTCAGCATGGATCTCCTGGTGGTCACCTGGTGGTCAGCTGATGGTCAGCTGATGGTCAGCTGGTCACTATGGATCTCCAGGACCTTCAGGTGGTCACCCAGGATGTCCAGGTGGTTCTGGTGGTCACCTGGTGGTCACCATGAATCCCCTGGTGGTCACCATGGTGGTCACCTGATGGTCAGCTGGTCCCAGAGATCTCCAAGGTGGTCACCATGGATCTCCAGGACATTCAGGTGGTCACCCAGGATGTCCAGGTGGTCACCTGGTGGTCACCTGATGGTCACCTGGTGGTCACCTGGTGGTCACCATGGATGTCCAGGTGGTCACCTGGTGGTCACCAGGGATCTCCACGACCTTCTGGTGGTCACCCAGGTGACCTTCAGGTGGTCACCATGGATGTCCTGGTGGTCACCTGGTGGTCAGCTCATGGTTTGGGCCTTCAGGTGGTCACCAGTGACCCCCAGTCCCTCCCAGTGACCCCTGGTCAGTCCTGGTCAGTCCCAGTGACCGCTGGTCACTCCCAGTCCCTCCCAGTGACCCCAAAGACCCCCGGTCAGTCCCGGTCAGCCCTGGTGACCACGGTGGTCACTCCGGTCACTCTGGTCACTCTGGTCACTCTGGCCAGTCCCGGTCAGTCCCAGTGACCACAGTGGTCACTCCGGTCACTCTGGTCAGTCCCGGTCAGTCCCGGTGGTCACTCCGGTCACTCTGGCCTGTCCCAGTGACCACAGTGGTCACTCCGGTCACTCTGGTCAGTCCCGGCCAGTCCTGGTGACCATGGTGGTCACTCCGGTCACTCTGGTCACTCTGGTCAGTCCCAGTCACTCTGGTCAGTCCCGGTGACCACGGTGGTCACTGTGGTCAGTCCCAGTCAGTCCCGGTGGTCACTCCGGTCACTCTGGTCACTCCGGTCACTCTGGTCAGTCCTGGTCAGTCCTGGTCAGTCCCAGTGACCACGGTGGTCACTCTGGTCACTCCGGTCACTCTGGTCAGTCCCGGTCAGTCCCAGTGGTCACTCCGGTCACTCTGGTCAGTCCTGGTCACTCTGGCCAGTCCCGGTCAGTCCTGGTCAGTCCCGGTGGTCACTCCAGTCACTCTGGTCATTCTGGTCACTCTGGTCAGTCCTGGTGACCACGGTGGTAACTCTGGTCAGTCCCGGTCACTCTGGTCAGTCCCGGTCAGTCCTGGTGACCACGGTGGTCATTCTGGTCACTCTGGTCAGTCCCGGTGAGTCCCGGTGGTCACTCCGGTCACTCTGGTCAGTCCCAGTCAGTCCCGGTGACCATGGTGGTCACTCCGGTCACTCCGGTCACTCCGGTCACTCTGGTCAGTCCCGGTCACTCTGGTCAGTCCCGGTCAGTCCTGGTCAGTCCCAGTGACCATTGTGGTCACTCTGGTCACTCCGGTCACTCTGGTCAGTCCCGGTGAGTCCCGGTGGTCACTCCGGGGGTCACTCCGGTCACTCCGGTCAGTCCTGGTCAGTCCCAGTGACCACAGTGGTCACTCCAGTCACTCCGGTCACTCTGGTCAGTCCCGGTGAGTCCCGGTGGTCACTCCGGGGGTCACTCCGGCCGCGGTCACTCACGTCGTCCGTGAAGATGGCCAGCTTGCCGCTCTCCAGCATGTCCTCCAGCTCCTCGTTGGTCGTGGTCCGGCCGGCTGGGGGAGAGTGACCACTGAGTGACCACTGAGTGACCACTGAGTGACCACTGAGTGACCACTGACCCCCTGATGACCCCCAGCCATTCCCATGCCTGACCACTCCCCCCCTCACTGACCACTGAGCCCCGAGTGACCCCCGGCCCCCCTTCACTGACCACTGAGCCCTGATGACCCCGAGTGACCCCTGATGACCCCAGATGACCCCAGAGTGACCACAGCAGTGGTCAGTGACCCCAGATGACCCCAGAGTGACCCTCACTGATCCCCAGCTCTCTCTGCATCTGCTCCTTGCAGTGGTCAGTGCACGGTGACCCCTCGGTCCCTCCCCATCCCCTGATGACCAATGATGACCAACGATGACCAATGATGACCAATGATGACCAATGACCCCAGATGACCCCGGGTGACCCCAGATGACCCCTGGGTGACCCCAGGGTGACCCTCACTGATCTCGAGCTGCCGCTGGATCCGGTCCTTGCAGCGGTCACTGTGACCGCTCTGTCCCTCACACTGACCATTCCCTGATGACCAATGATGACCAATGATGACCAATGACCCCAGATGACCCCAGATGACCCAGGTGACCCCAGATGACCCCAGAGTGACCCTCACTGACCTCCAGCTCTCTCTGCATCCCGTCCTTGCAGTGGTCACTGTGACCACTCTGTCCCCATCCCCTGATGACCAATGATGACCAACGATGACCAGTGATGACCATTGACCCCAGAGTGACCCCAGGTGACCCCAGGGTGACCCCAGATGACCCCAGGGTGACCCTCACTGATCCCAGCTCTCTCTGCAGCCGCTCCTTGCAGTGGTCAGTGCACGGTGACCCCTCGGTCCCTCCCCATCCCCTGATGACCAATGATGACCAACGATGACCAATGATGACCAATGATGACCAATGACCCCAGATGACCCCAGATGACCCCAGATGACCCCGAGTGACCCCAGATGACCCCGGGTGACCCTCACTGATCTCGAGCTCTCTCTGCATCCGCTCCTTGCAGTGGTCACTGTGACCACTCTGTCCCTCACACTGACCATTCCCTGATGACCAATGACCCCAGATGACCCCAGGTGACCCCAGAGTGACCCCAGATGACCCCAGAGTGACCCTCACTGATCTCGAGCTGCCGCTGGATCCGGTCCTTGCAGCGGTCACTGTGACCTCTCTGTCCCTCACACTGACCACTCTGTCCCCATCCCCTGATGACCAATGATGACCAATGACCCCAGATGACCCCAGGGTGACCCAGAGTGACCCAGATTGACCCTCACTGATCTCGAGCTGTCTCTGGATCCGGTCCTTGCAGCGGTCCCGGTACTTGGACTGCGTCGCGTTGTACTCGGTCATCACCTCCACGAACTTGCGGGACAGCGTCGAGTGCTGGGACACAGGTGAGGCACCACAGGTGAGACATGGACAGGTGAGACACCACAGGTGAGACACGGGGACAGGTGAGAGACAGGTGAGATATGGACAGGTGAGAGACAGGGACAGGTGAGACAGGTGAGACACAGGTGAGACACGGGGACAGGTGAGATACAGGTGAGATATGGACAGGTGAGACACCACAGGTGAGACATGGACAGGTGAGATACAGGTGAGATACAGGTGAGACCCCACAGGTGAGACACAGGTGAGACAGGTGAGACATGGACAGGTGAGATACAGGTGAGACCCGTCAGGTGAGACAGGGACAAGTGGGATATGGACAGGTGAGACCAGACAGGTGAGACACAGGTGGGACAGGTGAGATACAGGTGAGACATGGACAGGTGAGACACAGGTGAGACCCGACAGGTGAGACAGGTGAGATATGGGACAGGTGGGACATGGACAGGTGAGACATGGACAGGTGAGACATGGACAGGTGAGACCGGACAGGTGAGACATGGACAGGTGCGACACAGGTGAGATATGGACAGGTGAGACCCAACAGGTGAGACCGGACAGGTGAGACACAGGTGAGGCCATACACTGCCTCTGCTGCTGCTGCTGCTGGCAATGACAATGACGATGACGATGATGATGATGATGACATCATCGTGATGATGGCGGTGATGACGACAAAGCCGATGACAGTGATGATGATGATGGTGATGAAGCCGATGATGACAATGATGAAGCTGCTGCTGATGATGATGATGAAGATCAAGTCAATGGTGACGATGAAGCCAATGAAGACGGAGCCGATGACGATGATGATGAAGCCATTGATGAAGACGAGGGACAATGGCAATTAAACCAGTGATGAAGCCGATGATGGTGATGAAGATCAAGGACAATGATGATGACGATGATGATGAAGGTGACAATGATGATGATGAAGATGAAGCCAATGATGACTCTGATGATGATGATGATGATGAAGATGATGACGATGAAGCCAATGAAGCCATTGATGATGATGAAGACGAAGGACAATGATGAAGCCAATGATGATAAAGACAATGATGATGATGATGACGATGATGATGATGAAGATGATGATGATGAAGGTGATGAAGCTGATGATGATAATGATGATGATGATGATGATGATGATGATGAAGGTGACGATGATGATGATGACGATGGTGATGATGATGATGGTGATGACGATGAAGCCAATGACAATGAAGCCATTGATGATGATGAAGATGAAGGACAATGATGAAGCCAATGATGATGACAATGACCATGATGACGATGATGATGAAGATGAAGCCAATGACGATGACGATGATGATGAAGATGATGACGATGAAACCGATGACGATGAAGCCATTGATGATGATGAAGACGAAGGACAATGTTGAAGTCAATGACTCTGATGATGATGATGATGAAGGACAATGTTGAAGCCAATGATGACTCTGATGATGGTGATGACGATGATGATGAAGGTGGCGATGAAGGCTCACCCGCGTCTTGCAGATCCGCAGGTCGGCCGAGGACCGGCTCAGCGATGAAGATGATGATGAAGATGGTGAAGGACAATGATGAAGATGAAGATGATGAAGCCAATGATGACGATGATGATGATGATGACGATGATGAAGCCAATGAAGCCATTGATGATGATGAAGATGAAGGACAATGATGAAGTCGATGACGATGACGATGAAGCCAATGACAATGAAGCCATTGATGACGATGAAGATGAAGGACAATGGCAATTAAACCATTGATGAAGCCGATGATGATGATGATGATGAAGATGAAGCCAATAATGAAGCCAATGATGATGACGATGATGATGATGACGATGAAGCTGATGACAATGAAGCCATTGATGATGATGAAGACGAAGGACAATGATGAAGTCGATGATGATGAAGATGAAGCCAATGACTCTGATGATGATGAAGGTGATGATGATGATGACAATGACGATGATGAAGGTGACGATGATGATGATGGTGACGATGAAGCCAATGACAATGAAGCCATTGATGATGATGAAGACGAAGGACAATGATGAAGCCAATGATGATGACGATGACCATGATGACGATGATGATGAAGATGAAGCCAATGACGATGATGAAGATGAAGCCAACGATGATGAAGGTGACGATGAAGATGATGATGATGATGAAGATCAAGGACAATGATGATGACGATGATGATGATGAAGGTGACGACGATGAAGCCAATGAAGCCATTGAGGATGATGAAGACGAAGGACAATGATGAAGTCAATGATGATGACGATGACCATGATGACGATGATGATGAAGATGAAGCCAATGATGACTCTGATGATGATGACGATGACGATGATGATGATGATGATGACGATGATGATGATGAAGCCAATGATGATGATGGTGACGATGAAGCCAATGACAATGAAGCCATTGATGATGATGAGGACGAAGGACAATGATGAAGTCAATGACTCTGATGATGATGATGATGATGATGATGATGAAGGACAATGTTGAAGCCAATGATGACTCTGATGATGACGATGATGACGATGACGATGATGAAGGTGATGAAGCTGATGGTGATAATGATGATGATGATGATGACGATGATGAAGGTGACGACGATGATGATGGTGACGATGAAGCCGATGACAATGAAGCCATTGATGATGATGAAGACGAAGGACGATGATGAAGCCAATGATGACTCTGACGATGATGATGACGATGATGATGAAGGTGACGATGAAGATGATGATGACGATGAAGATGAAGATGAAGTTAACGATGATGAAGATGATGACGATGAAGCCGATGACAATGAAGCCATTGATGATGAAGATGAAGGACAATGGCAATTAAACCAATGATGAAGCCGCTGATGATGATGAAGATGAAGCCAATGATGATGATGACGATGATGACGATGATGATGATGAAGCCAATGACGATGATGACGATGATGATGGACAATGATGAAGTCAATGATGAAGTCAATGATGATGATGATGATGATGAAGATCAAGGACAATGATGATGACGATCATGACAATGATGAAGATGATGAAGATGATGACGATGATGAAGCCAATGAAGCCATTGATGATGATGAAGATGGTGAAGGACAATGATGAAGTCAATGATGATGACAATGACCATGATGACGATGATGAAGATGAAGCCGATGACGATGACGATGATGATGATGATGATGATGATGATGATGACGATGATGAAGGTGACGATGACGATGACGATGATGAAGGTGACGATGATGATGATGATGATGATGACAATGATGATGATGACGATGATGATGATGACGATGATGATGAAGGCTCACCTGTGTCTTGCGGATCCGCAGGTCGGCCGAGGAGCGATTCAGCCCCTCCTCCTGCTCGATGCTCTGCTCGATGGCTGCGGCCGGACAGCGGTCACTCGGTCAGCGGTCACTCAGTGGTCACTCAGGGGTCACTCGGGGGTCACTCAGGGGTCACTCAGCGGTCACTCGGTCAGCGGTCACTCAGCGGTCACTCAGGGGTCACTCGGGGGTCACTCAGTGGTCACTCGGTCAGCGGTCACTCGGTGGTCACTCACTCAGCGGTCACTCGGTCAGTGGTCACTCAGGGGTCACTCGGTCAGCGGTCACTCATGGTCAGTGGTCACTCGGCGGTCACTCAGTCAGCGGTCACTCGGTCAGCGGTCACTCGGTGGTCACTCGGTCAGCAGTCACTCAGGGGTCACTCAGTGGTCACTCACCGGTCACTCACCGGTCACTCACTCAGCGGTCACTCGGTCAGCGGTCACTCGGTGGTCACTCAGTGGTCACTCAGCGTTCACTCAGTGCTCACTCAGCGGTCACTCATTGGTCACTCAGTGGTCACTCACGCAGCAGTCATTCAGTGGTCACTCATTGGTCACTCAGCGGTCACTCAGCGGTCACTCACTCATTGGTCACTCACCCAGCGGTCACTCAGCGGTCACTCAATGGTCACTCACTCAGCGGTCACTCAGTGGTCACTCAGTGGTCACTCAGCGATCACTCAGTGGTCACTCACTCAGCGGTCACTCACTCAGCGGTCACTCATTGGTCACTCAGTGGTCACTCATTGGTCACTCAGTGGTCACTCACTCAGCGGTCACTCATTGGTCACTCAGCGGTCACTCATTGGTCACTCAGTGGTCACTCACTCAGCAGTCACTCAGTGGTCACTCATTGGTCACTCAGCAGTCACTCAGTGGTCACTCAGCGGTCACTCACTCAGTGGTCACTCAGCAGTCACTCAATGGTCACTCACTCAGCGGTCACTCAGTGGTCACTCATTGGTCACTCATTGGTCACTCAGCGGTCACTCAGCGGTCACTCACCCATCGGTCACTCACCCAGCAGTCACTCATTGGTCACTCATTGGTCACTCATTGGTCACTCACCCATTGGTCACTCATTGGTCACTCATTGGTCACTCACCCAGCGGTCACTCATTGGTCACTCACCCATCGGTCACTCACTGGTCACTCAGGGGGGCAGGGGTCAAAGGTCACCTTTCAATTTGGAGCGCACTTTGTTCGCCGTTTTCTTGATGTCGGCCGTGAGATCCTCGAGCTCCTGCTTGGTCTCTGAGGGACCGAGAGTGACCACGAGTGACCGGTGAGTGACCGGTGAGTGACCACTGAGTGACCAGTGAGTGACCACCCACTGACCACCCACTGATTGATTAGTGACTGATTAATGAATGATTAATGAATGATTAGTGACAGGTGAGTGACCATGAGTGACCGGTGAGTGACCAGTGAGTGACCACTGAGTGACCGGTGAGTGACCAGTGAGTGACCACCCACTGACCACCCACTGACCACCCACTGACCAGTTACTGATTGATTAGTGACTGATTAATGATTGATTAATGAATGATGAGTGATCAGTGAGTGACCGGTGAGTGACCACTGAGTGACCACTCGCTGACCACCCACTGATTGATTAGTGACTGATTAATGAATGATTAATGATTGATTAGTGACCACTGAGTGACCACTGAGTGACCACTCACTGACCACCCACTGACTGGTCACTGACCAATTACTGATCAATTACTGATTGATTACTGATTGATTAATGAATGATTAATGATTGATTAATGACTGATGAGTGACCGGTGAGTGACCACTGAATGACCACTCACTGACCACCCACTGACCAGTTACTGATTGATTAATGACTGATTAATGACTGATTAATGACTGATGAGTGATCAATGAGTGACCACTGAGTGACCACCCACTGACCAATTACTGATCAATTACTGATTGATTAATGAATGACTAATGAATGATTAATGAATGATTAATGACTGATGAGTGACCAATGAGTGACCGGTGAATGACCACTCACTGACCAGTTACTGACAATTACTGATTGATTAATGACTGATTAGTGACTGATAATTGACTGATAATTGACTGATGAGTGACCAGCAAGTGACCAATCACTGACCAGTTACTGACCAATTACTGATTGATTAATGAATGATTAATGACTGATTAATGACTGATTAATGACTGATTAATGAATGATGAGTGACTGATGAGTGACTGATTAATGACTGATTAATGACTGATTAATGACTGATGAGTGACTGATGAGTGACTGATTAATGACTGATTAATGATTGATTAATGACTGATTAATGACCTGATTAATGACTGATTAATGATTGATTAATGACTGATTAGTGACTGATTAATGACTGATTAATGACTGATTAATGACTGATGAGTGACTGATTAATGACTGATGAGTGACTGATTAATGACTGATTAATGACTGATGAGTGGACTGATTAGTGACTGATTAATGACTGATGAGTGACTGATTAATGACTGATTAATGACTGATGAGTGACTGATTAGTGACTGATTAATGACTGATGAGTGACTGATTAATGACTGATTAATGACTGATGAGTGACTGATTAGTGACTGATTAATGACTGATGAGTGACTGATTAATGACTGATTAATGACTGATTATTGACTGATTAATGATTGATTAATGACTGATTAGTGACTGATTAGTGACTGATTAATGACTGATTAATGACTGATTAATGACTGAAGAGTGACTGATTAATGACTGATTAATGACTGATGAGTGACTGATTAATGACTGATTAATGACTGATGAGTGACCAGCGAGTGACTCTGGCCCCATTAATGACCCAATTACCCCACTAATAACGGCAATAATTATCCTGTTAACTAATTAGCTCATTCATTAATTAAATCATTATTAATTGATCAATGATCGAGCATTAATTAATTAAATCATTATTTAATTAACAAATGATTAGTCATTAATAATTAATAATTAATAAATAATCAAAACATAAAAATAAATATTTATTTAATTAATAATTAAATAATTAAATAATTAATTATTAATTAATTAATAATTAATTAATAATTAAATCATTAATTAATCATTAATTAACTCACTCTCATCGGGGTTGGGGGCGGCCAGGATGGCGCTGTGCTCCTTAATGACCCCATTAACCCCATTAATGACCCCATTAATGACCCAATAACCCCATTAATGGTTAGAATAATTGATTAATTAGCTAATTAATAATTAATTAATTAATTAACTCACTCTCATCGGGGTTGGGGGGCGGCCAGGATGGCGCTGTGCTTGCTCCTTAATGACCCCATTAACCCCATTAATAACCCCATTAATGACCCAATAACCCCATTAATGACCAAAATAATTAATTAATATTGATTAATTAATAATTAATTAATTAATTAACGCACTCTCATCGGGGTTGGGGGCGGGCCAGGATGGCGCTGTGCTGCTTCTTCACCTGCTCCACGTCCTCCGAGAGTTTCTCGATGCAGCCCCGGATCTCCTCCACCTAAAATGGGGCAAATTCCGGCAAATTTGGGCAAATTCAGGAAAATTGGGGAAATTTGGGGAAAAAATTGGGGATTTTTAGGGAAAAAATTGGGGATTTTTGGGCAAAAAATTGGGGGTTTTTGGGGAAAATTGGGGATTTTTTGGGGAAAAATTGAGGGGTTTTTAGGGGAAAAAATGGGGATTTTGGGCGGGAAAATTGGGGATTTTATTGGGGAAAAATTGGGATTTTTGGGGGGGGAAAAATTGGGGATTTTTTGGGGGGGAAAAATGGGGATTTTATTGGGGGAAAATTGGGGATTTTCGGGGAGAAAAATTGGGGATTTTATTGGGGAAAAATTGGGGATTTTTGGGGGAAAAATTGGGGATTTTTGGGGGAAAAATTGGGGATTTTGGGGGGAAAATTGGGGATTTTTTTGGGGGAAAATTGGGGGATTTTATTGGGGAAAAATTGGGGATTTTTGGGGGAAAAATTGGAGATTTTGGGGGAAAATTGGGGATTTTTTGGGGGAAAAATTGGGGATTTTTGGGGGGAAAAATTGGGGATTTTTTGGGGGAAAAATTGGGGATTTTTGGGGAAAAATTGGGGATTTTTTGGCAAAAAATTGGGGATTTTTTTGGGGAAAATTGGGGATTTTTGGGGGAAAATCAGGATTTGGGGGGAAAAAATTGGGGATTTTTTGGGGGAAAAATTGGGGATTTTGGGGGGGGAAATTGGGGATTTTTGGGGAAATAATTGGGGATTTTTTGGGGGGAAAAATTGGGGATTTTTGGGGGGAAAAATTGGGATTTTATTGGGGAAAAATTGGGGGATTTTTGGGGGGAAAAATTGGGGATTTTTTGGGGGGAAAAATTGGGGATTTTTGGGGGGAAAAAATTGGGGATTTTGTGGGAGGGAAAATTGGGGATTTTTGGGGGAAAAATTGGGGATTTTTTTGGGGGGAAAGTTGGGGATTTTTGGGGGAAAAATTGGGGATTTTTGGGGGGGAAAAATTGGGGATTTTATTGGGGAACAATGGGGATTTTTGGGGGGAAAATTGGGGATTTTTGTGGGAAAAAATTGGGGATTTTTTGGGGGGAAAAATTGGGGATTTTGGGGGGAAAAATTGGGGATTTTTGGGGGAAAAATTGGGGATTTTTGGGGGATGTCCCAGAAAAAAACTGGGGGGAATTTTGGGGATTTTGGGGGAAATTTGGGGGCAAATCTGGGAATTCTTTGGAATTTTTTGGGGGAAATTTGGGGGAATTTTCAGGGGATTTTGAGGGATTTTGGAAGAATTGGGGGAATTTGGGGGGGATTTGGTGAAATTTGGGGATTTTGGGGGAATTTTGGTGAAATTTGGGGATTTTGGGGGATCCCAGAGCAATTTTGGGGGGATTTGGGGGGATTTGGGGGGAATTTAAGGAATTTTAGGGGGTTCTTGCAAATTTTAGGGGATTTGGGGGGATTTGGGGATTTTGGGGATTTTTGCGGAATTTTGGGGGGGGGGGGTTGGGGAATTTTTGGGAAATTTGGGGGATTTTGGGGATTTTGGGGGATTTTGGGGGTCCAGGGAAATTTTGGGGGATTTTTAGGAGTCAAATAAGTGAGAATTTGGGGCATTTTTGGGGGGTCCTGATGGATTTTAGGGGTCCCGATCCATTTTTTTGGGGTCCCTGATCCAATTTTGGGGGTCCTGGTCCCATTTTTGGGGTCCTGATCCCATTTTTAGGGGTCTTGGGTTGTTTTTTTTGGGGTCCCTGATGCCATTTTTGGGGTCCCAAACCCAATTTTTGGGGTCCTGATCCCATTTTTGGGGGTCCCTGACGCGATTTTGGGGGTTCCAAACCCATTTTTTGGGGGTTCCTGACCCAATTTTGGGGGTCCCGATCCCATTTTTGGGGTCCCGGACCCAATTTTGGGGGTCCCGATCCCGTTTTTAGGGTCCCTGACCCAATTTTGGGGGTCCCTGATCCCATTTTTTGGGGTTTTTGGGGGTCCCGATCCCATTTTTTGGGGTCCCGGACCCGATTTTGGGGGTCCAGTGCCATTTTTTGGGGTCCCTGGGGGTTTTTGAGGGTCCTGGACCCGATTTTGGGGTTCTGATCCCATTTTTGGGGGTCTTGGGTTGTTTTTTTGGGGTCCCTGATCCCATTTCGGGGGGTCCTGATCCCATTTTTGGGGGTCCCTGTCCTGTTTTTGGGGTCCCCTGACCCATTTTTGAGGGTCCCGATCCCATTTCAAGGATCCCAAACCCATTTTTGGGGTCCCCGATCCCATTTTTTGGGGTCCCTGACCCGATTTTGAGGGTTCCAAACCCAATTTTTTGGGTTTTGGGGGGTCCCGATCCCATTTTTTGGGGTCCCGGACCCGATTTTTGGGGTCCCAAACCCAATTTTTGGGGTCCCACCTGCTCGAAAGAACTCGTCCATGAAGTGGTCCCTGTCCACCGTCACCACCTCCTCCTCATCGTCGCTGTCCTTGGCCTGCGGGGGGCGCTCTCAGGGGGGGGGGCGTGGCCTCGCCAAAACCACGCCCACAAAGACGAAAGACACGCCCCCAAATTAAAAAAAAAAAAAAGCCCCCAAAAATCCGAAAATTCCCCACTTAAAAAAGCCAAAATTGTCCACGGGGACTCCCCAAATCTGCCCTAAAAATCCCCCCAAAAAAATCCCCCAAAAATCATCCCAGAATCGCCAAATATACCCCCAAAAAATCCCCAAAAAATTCCCCAAAAAATCCCCAAAAATCCCCCCCAAAAAAACCCCAAAAAATCCCCAAAATCCTCCCAAAATCGCCAAATATTCCCCCCAAAAATCCCCCAAAATACTCCCCCAAAAAACCCCCAAAAATTCCAAAATTCCTCCCAAAATCACCAAATTCCCCCAAAAAATCCCCAAAAAAATTCCCCAAAAATCCCCCTCAAAAAATCCCCAAAAAAATCCCCCAAAAAATCCCCCAAAAAATCCCCAAAATCGCCAAATATCCCCCCAAAAATCGCCCAAAATCCCCCAAAAAATCCCCAAAAATCCTCCCAAAATCGCCAAATATCCCCCCAAAAAATCCCCCAAAATCCTCCCCCCAAAAAAACCCCAAAAAATCCCCAAAATTCTCCCAAAATCGCCAAATATCCCCCAAAAATCCCCCCCCCAAAAAATCCCCAAAAAATTCTCCAAAAATCACCAAATATCTCCCAAAAAATCCCCAAAATCCCCCCCAAAAAAACCCCAAAAAATCCCCAAAAATTCCTCCCAAAATCGCCAAATATCCCCCAAAAAATCCCCCAAAATCTTCCCCCAATCAGCTCCCAAAAAATCCCCAAAACCCTCCCAACAAAAAATCACCAAATTCCCCCCAAAAAATCCCAAATTTCCCCCAAAATCCCCCCCCAAAATTCCCAAACCCCCCCAAAAGATCCCAAAAAAATCCCAAAAAATTCCCAAAAATCCCTGAGACCCCCCCCGATAATTCCCCACCCCCACCCCCCTCTGGGATCCCCCAAATCCCCCCCCAAAATCGCCCCCAAACCCAAAAAATCCCAAAAAATCCCCAAAATTCCCCGAAAACCCCAAAAAATTGAAAAAAAAAATCTCAAAAAATCCCCAAAATCCCCAAAATTCTGCCCCATCCGGCACCACCCCCCAAGACCTCAAATCCCACGGGATCCCCCAAAATCCCCCAAAAATC